AGCTCTTACCCTTTTTGAGTTATCTTGAAAAAGCCCTTTGTTTTATCTTTTTCCACCCTTGGCCGGGGGTTGAACAAAAAATTACTCTCACTTATTGTTATAATATAACTTAAACTAACTCATATCAAAAATTCAGCCAAGTTGGCAAAATTAGTTAATTGGACTAATAACATTGTGCAAGTTCGTACATTACATGAATATCTGCAAATTCTTCATAGTTAAAATTCTCCATGATATTGAATCAACAAATGGTGTCAAAATGATTTATGACAAATATCTAACTGCTAATTATACATATTTGTTACAGTCATCTCAATTTCCAAGATTTTTGCAAAAATGTTGTTAATACCGCATTTTTGATACATATATGTTGTTAATAAAATTCGATTTTCACAAAAACGGTACAAGATATCGACTGAAGTACGGTATACTTTTTTTTAGCAAATTGAAAGAGGAATGGAACTATGAAAGAAAAATGCTAAATATGGCAACGCTGTCAAAGATGTATAAATTTAAATGGATAATTTCGTCTGCTCCTGTACAATGCAGGCATATTGAATATCAGTTTAAACTTCGAAATGGACATTACCATGAGTTACTTTAATTGCCCAACCCAAATTTCATTGTTGTCATGGTAACGACTTAGAAGTTATAATTGGAATTTGTTTTCAAACTTCTTTCTTCGAAGGCGAATAACTCCACAACGAAGCCCGTTAGGAAAAAATTTTATATGAAGGAGTACAACTATTTTGAGCTCTCCTGCATACTCCTTCATTTTTGACATTACCTTTCCGGACACCCCGTATACCTTAAAAGTTTTGATATTTAAGTACTGTAAATCATAATTATTCAAAAACGAAGACGTTTTCAAACTTCCAGCTATTCGACATGCTGAAGAAGCAGAGAGGCGAAGCCATCATCAACAAAGTGGTCGCCATCGCCGGCGACGCCATGCTTCCCGACCTGGGTCTGTCCAAGGAAGACAGAGCCCTTATCGCCCGAGAGACCGACATCATCTTCCACTGCGCGGCCACCATCAGGTTCGACGAACCCCTGAAGAAGGCCGTCCTGCTCAACGTCAGGGGCACCAAGCTGGTTCTGGACCTGGCTAAAGAGTGCAAGAAGCTGATGGTATGTCGAGAAATATCCGAAATTGTTCTTCCTTTCATACATCGTGTTTTCCAGCTGTTCAGCCACCTCTCCACAGCCTATTGCCACCTCCACGAAAGGGTGCTGTACGAGAAGATATACCCTCCACCTGCGGACCCGCACCGAGTCATCCAAACCGTGGAATGGATGAATGAAGACGTCATCAACTCCATAACGCCCAAGTAAGTCCAAGGTATCGAATTCCGAACGCCTACTTCCACCAAAGACTCCAAACGTCACTTTAGCGCGAAAATTCTTTGTTTCCAGGATCTTGGGCGACTTCCCCAACACGTACGCCTTCACCAAGGCACTCAGTGAGTCCCTGGTAGCAGACGAGATGGACAATTTGCCGGTTGTTATACTGAGACCGTCCATAGGTGGGTAAAAAAACATTTCCTGGAGTTATTTCATTCCTGCCTCGCCAATTTTTTTCTAGTTATACCAGTATGGAAGGAGCCGATCCCTGGTTGGACGGACAATATCAACGGACCTGCAGGGCTGTTGATAGGAGCGGGGAAGGGAGTCATCAGGACCATGCATTGCAATTCAGATCGGTACGCGGATTACTTGCCAGTTGACATTGGAGTCAACGCGATGATAGTCAGCACGTGGGATTATCTGGCACATGGGTAAGTACCAAAGCTGCAAAGGGCATATTCCAATAAGTTGGTCAAAAGTCCCGCCTCTGGGATTTTCACCGGACATATGGCATTCGATTCGGGATCAAAAAAGACCAAGCCCCCTAAATTTTCAGCCCCTGACAGTGCCCCCTCCGTCCGCTAGGGCGAAAAAGCTGTTTTTCAGTATTTTTGCGATAACTCGGGCTAGAAATAATATTTTTAAATGCGGGTTGCGGCATTCGAAAGGTTTTTCAAAGGAGCAGGCGTGTGATTTTTTTCGGATTTTTCGGCTCCATAACCGAAAAATGGCGGCCATTTCAATATTTGTAACGTGATTTTCAGCACTTTTTTTCTTCCCGGCACAAAATTGAAAAACGGCATTTTTTGGCATTTTTTATTACCTTTCAGATGGTTTATTGCGAAAAATTTTTTAAATGGTGCAAAAGGTCGAAAAAACGTCAAATATGCGATTTTGGTCATTTTTGACCGATTTTCGACGGATTGGTGATCTTATTGCCACGTTCTTGCGGGTATTGAATCACCATCAAGTCCCTGAGACACTTGAATCCAAGTTCTGATCCCTCAGGAACGATTCCCTTCGAAATCAGACCTCAGAAATCGATTTAGCACGCTCAAAAACCCTGTAGTCCAAGTTTCTGGCCCTCGAAATTTTTCCATCATAAATTTGTCCGTTCAAAATCCAAATTTAGACTTTATTTTTAACCTCGAAACCAAGAAACTGACCTCGAGAGCAGCATCAGCGCCCTCAAAAACCCCCCAATAGGCCTGCATGACCTTTAATCAACTCTTAGTTCTCAAAAATCACCCCTTAACCCCTATTTCCAACCCTCTGCCAACATCTTAGATGATAGTGACCCTCGACATACTCCCGAAATAAATAATAAAACGTTTTTTAAGGATAGGCATTTAATTATTCTCCAAATAAATAATTTTTCCTCATTTTTTAAAACAGATTATCACAATATCTCGCATGTACAAATCCTATAATTTACCTTCTGCGCATGCGCATTTTTCTTTGAAAGTGTTCCATTTCTTCGAAAAGTCAACTCCATAACAGAAAATTTGACTCCACTATGTGTATTTTTACCATATTTTTGCCCTGTCTAACCGACTCCAAACACAAAAAAATATGAAAAAAGAAGGATATTTTGGCCGAAAAAATGAAATATCGCATATTTTACGCTTTTTTGGAAGCTTCTAGCATACTGCAATCGAAAGAGGAGTGTCTGAGGAAGAGAATGCAGTGTACTACAGGTCAAACGGTTGCCTAACACCCGAGAAACTTCCAAAACACTGCGCAGAGCCTTCGCGTGGACGGAAATTGGTTTTTTGGAATCTCAATTTTTCGCAACTTTGAATGTAAAAAAAATTTAAAATGATGTTCAGCCTCTATTTCAACTGTGTTAACCCCCACACATTGATGTCTCCAGAAAAAAGTTCCCAAAAAACTTCAAAATATTTCGAAAGACACCCAACAAACAGACCTAACACTACTTCAGCGGTAAAATTTTCTCATTTTCAAAAGGGGCAGTTTTAAAAGGCTAATCCAATAACAGAAACGTTTTTACTTCCCTCCCACTCCAACAACAGGTGTCTACAGGCACCACGCTTCACACAAATTCGAAAATACCAACCCGGTTTCGAAAAGTTTTTTCGAGGATTTTTAGTTTTTGCTAGATTTTGTTTTTTTTTCTAAAAGAATTTGAGATGACTCATGGAAAGTTTTTGCTCGAAAAGGTGAAGGGATACCGAGTTAATAAAAAAACTAGAAGTTTCTAGGGTGCCAGGGCTCCGAGAAAGCAAACCATGCGTAAAAATTCTCCCCAGGGACCCAGAGTTGTTGCCAAAATAACTTGTTTTCTAGTGATTTCGGGGGGTGGAGTTATTAATTTGATTATTACCTAGGTTTTTGTTTCACTTTTGAACACTTTCCTTTTTTTTAAATGGACTTTCCTTTTTTGTGCAAATGAAAAAATATGAATTAGAGGCTTACGTACCCGCTTAAACTAAAACTTCAACTTCAAGAACTTCACACTTTCCAATATACTCCCCTTTTCATATCACAAAAATAAGCTGATTCCGCGTGCGTGTTGCCGACCATAGACTTATAGAGATAGACTGCACGATTCATAGGATTTTCTGTCCGCTAGATGATGCGCAGTCTATCCTATATGTCTATGGTGCCGACTACGTTTTATACATGTACGCCGGCGCCGCCGTGTGTGTCCCCGGATTTCTCCTTAAGTTTTTAGCGTGACGCGGTTTCTCGACCCCATAACGGACACAAAAAAAGTTTCACTTCAAAAATCTTTTAGTTTTCTGCAAAAAAACAATGTTTACAAAGTGTCTAGCTTGGAGAAGACTCTGGAATTTTTTTAATTGCCTTTTTGGCTTAAAACTTTCCAAAGGATTTTTAAGGAAAAATGTTTGTTCGCAAAAATTCCTATATCAAAAACTTTACCATATGGGTTAAAGCGTTAAAGGTCAAACTAATGGAACATTCAACCGGCCCGAACGGTTCAGCCCCAACCCATCCCCTTGAACACCTCCACTATTGCCTATCCTTAAAAAACGTTTTATTATTTATTTCGGGGGTATGTCGAGGGTCACTATCATCTAAGATGTTGGCA